CACCAAATTAATAAATCCCTCCCTTGAATAAATGCCCCCCCTCATAAATGCTTCTCAACAATTAATGCCCCAGGGTGTTTATTCAAATAAATATATATGATAATATTGCAGGTTTAAGCTTACCAGAAGGAGTTGATCCATCATTTCTTGCTGCCTTGCCTGATAATATACGCCAGGAAGTCTTGCGTGAGCATCTCGGTTTACGTTCCAGCCAAGCTGCCAATACCGGTGCGACAGCTTCCAGTAGTAGCACCCCAACATCTAGTACCCGTGTCAACCCTGAGTTCTTGGCTGCATTGCCACCTCACATTCAGGAAGAAGTAAGTGATCCTTCTTCAGCTTCAATCTTCTCTGATTCGTTCACCTGTCAATTCTTTATTTATTCATTCATTCAGTTTCTTGAACTGCATAGTCTTTACCCATAATCTTCCCTGATTTTGTTATTTGTCAATTTTCCATTCATTCATTCACTTTTCTTTACTGCTGCTACTTGTCAAAATCCTGTTTAGTATCTAAATGAGGGCTGGTGTGTTATGTTTCCAACAGTGAATGAATGTGCATGCATTCATTCATTTACTTTTTCATTTATTACATGTGGTTGAAAATACTATTCTTTATTACAATTATTATTGGAGTAGTGATTACCTATAGATTTGGAAAAAAATTTATTTAGGATTTGTGATTTAAAATTGTTATATTAGTAAATGATGATATCGTTTTGGTTTTGAGTGTAATGATGATGCTACCTCACCCGATATCTGAATACTAATACTTGATTGGATTGCTTTTAATCAATCAAGATAACTACCATTTCTGATTAGTGAATCAAATACTCAAATTTGTTTCTTAGGTGTTAGCACAAGAGCAAGCAGAAAGAGATCGTCAAAATGCGCAGCAACTTGGATCACAAGCAGCTGCAGACCCAGTGGATCCAGCTGCTTTTATTCGCAATCTACCATCTTCCTTGCGCCAGACCATCCTAGCTGACATCGATGATTCTGTATTGGCAGTAATGCCACCAGAAATTGCTGCTGAAGCTCGTTCTCTGAGACACAATATTGAAGTGCAACATAGAAGGCTAATGCAAGAACGATTATTACGGGAGACCGGTATGCTGTCAGCTATTGTTCGAAACTCAGGTGAGTCAACTTAAGATCAATGTTGCTAATTGGACAACACCTGAAAATAACCATAATT